CAGGTCTATCTGGCTTCTGCACAGGAGGATGTGACTCTGTTCCAGGTCTCTGACTTTAGTTCAGAATAAAGGGGCATTTGAACAACGGGAGCTCACTGAAAACTTAACTTTCTAGGGACACCCAATAGTGTCCATACTCATTCCTTCCCTTTGATGGTCTCAAGATGGTCCCCAAAGACCACCTGACTCCTGGGCAGCTTCAAGGTCCAGCTTCTAGGACCTTCCCAAGGCCTGGCTACAATTCTGCCTTTGCTTCCATGAGATGCCCTACATTCTTGATTTAAGTTCCTCCTTGTTTAAACTGGCTTCACAGGTCTATATTCTCAAAGCCAGAAGAACCCCAACTCACCCAAAAACCAGGAGTATCAACACACTGCAAAGAGAGCTTAGAGAAATGTAAAAGCAAGCTTCCTGTCCAAACCTGGAAAGACAAACTAACCAAATTCCAATATTTTCCACCAAACTGGCTTTCTGAATTATATATGTCTCAGCATCAAGTGACCAAAAAATAACAGGTTTTTTAAAATAGTGGATTTTAAGAATGAAAGAGTGGGTTTTAATGGAAAAGAGATTCCCTTCTCTAACATAAAACAAACCAAAACAAGACAACAAAATAAATAGCATGTTATTTGTATTCATTTTTAGGAGAAACAAAATAGCATCTTCTGATGGAGTTAGTTAAAGGCTGGATTTGCGTGAGCAGTCTTTGGAACAGCTCATCCCTTGTAATAGCAAACACTCAGAAATTCAACTATTTACATTCCACCTTAGATACATTTTTTAAATGTCTATAATTTCTCAGAATGTGCAGAAATGCTTTTGGATCATTTAATAAGCGTTCAGCAAATGCCTACTGCACACAGAACCTCTTGAATTTCCAGGAGAAAATAAGAAGCAATTGGAGGTATGGTAGAGTGAAACTTATCCACCTGGCAAATGAATGGGCCGATTTATCCCTCATAGGCATGTTTGCATAATCCGGCTGCAAGAGATGTCAGAGGCAGGTGCTAGGAACAAAAATAATCAAACGTGGCTTTCTGAGTGCCTCCTCTTATATTTGGTGATTGCAACGGCTGACATAAAGGAAGTGTAAGGAGAGGAAATGATGGGAGGTGGGAAGATATATTAATTTCAATGTGTGCCCCTCCCTATTTGGGAAAAAAAGGAGCAATTCTTTACTACCGTGGGTTCTTTCCTTTCTGGAATGGTCTGGAGCAAATCAGCTCCTGAGAACCAATAAGAAGAGAATGCTGGGAAGCAGGGAGAGGTCTTAGGTTCCAACTCTGCAGCCAGGCATAGGGTATAGTTAATAATTCCCAAAGAAGGCTGGGAAAATGAGTTCTTGTCTAGTAGTGGCACAGCCTCTTAAAAGATTGCCCCAAGTTTAGTTGATTTCACACCCCAGAAATATCTGTGATTATATTTAAGAGGCATGTTTTGCTTTGTTTCTGCCTGGGCTGAAACATATTCTCCATTTTTCCCACTCAGGAAGTGGTCATTAATTGTGAGATTATTGGAGTCAGTGAAAGAACAAGGCAGAACTTTCTAAGCTTGAACTTAAAACGCCTGGTGATTGGGGCTGGGAACATGTGCCTGCCTAGCAAGTGCAAAGCCCTGAGTTCAAACCCCAGAACCACCAAAAAGACTTGGTGAAGAGCATAGTTACTATAAAGTTTCGTAGGACATTTCATCACTAAATAGGTCACCTGCGTAAGGCAAGAATCATGACTACCCAGATGCAGACAGCATGATAGTAATCCTATTTACCGAGAGCTTTCTGTCATTTACTCTGATAGTTTGAGTGCTCTAAAGAACTTGGGACAGCCAGGGGCCAGTGGCTCACACCTGTAATCCTAGCTACTCGGGAGGCAGAGATCAGGAGGATCACAGTCCAAAGTCAGCTCTGGGCAAATAGTTCATTAAGACCCTGCCTCAAAAAAGCCCATTACAAAAAAGGACTGGTAGAGTGGATCAAACCTTAAGAGCATCTGCCTAGCAAGGATGAGGCCCTGAGTTCAAACTCCAATGCCACCCAAAAAAAAAAAAAAGAGCTTGGCACATAGCCAAGCACCACACCTGCACCTGCCCAGGTATCTCAGTGTGCCCTGTACCGCAGCAGGTGCTAGGTGGGGCTCTGCTCTCCCTTTAGTCATCACCCCTGCACCCACTTCCAACTTCAGGCCTCTCTCACCTTCTGCTCTCAATTTCCCTTTCCTCTGCCTGATTTTCCCTCCTTTCTACTTCTTGCCACATTTTGGACTTTTTTTTTCTGTTTCCTGTAAAACCAAGGGGCAGAGGCAACATGGGAAGTGAGCCCGATTGGACTCTGCTTTGCCACGTGCTGCCTGTTTGCTTGTGGGAAAGTCATTTGATCTCACAGAGCCTCAGTTATGAGAATCTGCAGAAATGACACCTGTCTGTGAGAGTGATAGTGTGTGTGCCCACCCATTTAACTAAGAGCCCCACCAAAGAAACTGGTGTTATTATTGGACAAATTGATCTAGTTGGTGTGCTAAAAAATGTCACCCTCTTTGCTTTGTAGAAACCCACTTGATTTGTATCCATGTGACAACAGCAGCATCTCAAAGTCAGTTACTGTCACCTTGTCTTTGGCACAGGCCTGAGGTTGTACACTGCTCCTGTCTAACACAGTGGAGAGCCAGCTGGGACATTGTGCTCTGCAGCATCGTGGGTTTCTATTTCTCTGGAGCTTTCTTTCTCCTTGTGCTCTCTGTCCATCAGTCCTCCCCTTCATGCTCTAAGTGGCTTACAGTAAGCCGGCAATGAAAGAGCATACTGTCCCAAGGATGAAAACAACACGGATCCACCCAGCAACTGGTTGGCTGGACGTTGTTTTTCCAAAACTGGTGCCTCATGCCATTGTTAGCCTCTTCAGAATGTCTGGCTGGACTTTACAGTTTTCGACTCTCCAAGGTCATCCACTCTGCTGAATTTTATCTAATCCCAGGGGGACTTGATCACATTCTCCTTTTTAAAAAATTACTGGCTTTATTTAGATATAATGAAATACTATAAAATCTACCCCACAATCAATCCTAGAAAATTTTTCATCACTCTCAAAATAAACACCTTATCCATTTACAGACACTTCCTTCAGTCCCTGGCAGTCACCCATCTATTCTCTGTCTCTTTGGATTTGCCTATTATGAACACTTAGTCTCAATGGAATAATATGTAGCTTTTTGTGACCAGCTTCTTTCATTTAGTAAATGTTTCCAAGGTCCATCCAGGTTGTGGCAAATATCAGTAAGCACTTCATTCCTTTTCATGGATGAATAACATTTCATTGTATGGAATTCTCTTGGTGGATCCATTCATCAGTTGATGAACACTGGGCTGTTTCTCCCTTTTGGCCATTATGAATAATGGTGCTATAAACTTTTGTGTATAGGTTCTTGTATGGGCACATGGTTTCATTTCTCTTGGACATATACCTACAAAAGGAATTACTGGGTCATATGGTAACTCAGTATTTAACTTTTTGGGGGAACTGCCAATTTGTTTACCAAAGTGGTTGTACCATTTTATATTCCTACCAGCAAGGTACAATTGTTTCTGATTTCTCCAAACCTGAACATGGGTCTCCCTACTTCTCTTGGATTTAATGTCCTTGGACACAAACTGAAGCACCAAGATCATCATAATAGCAACCATAGAACATATGGCTGAATAAATCTCAGCTGTAAGTTGGGTGTACTTACTTCTTATTATAATCAGTTACATTTCCTGTGATGGTTAATCTCAACTGTCAATGTGATTGGCTCGAAAAGGGCCTAGGAAGTTAATAAAACACATCTCTGGGTGTGTCTGTGACCACATTTCCAGAGAGGATTAACTAGGGGGAAAGCCTCACCCTGAATGTGCACACAGGTATTCTCTCTCTTCCTGGAGGCCATAGGTGATCTGCTCCCCACTGATCTCCCTGCCATGATGGACTGAAACCTCTCAAACTGTGAATCAAATAAATCCTTTCCTTCCTTGTTTATGTCAGGTATTTTGTCACACTGTTGGAAAACCCAACCAACACACTTCTAACTAGAGGGGTAACTTACTTCAGGAGAAAATACAGGACTAACTTCACATCTTCCAAATAACAGAGATACCATTTATTGAGAACTTACTGGATTTTTAACACATATGACCTCGTTTTTTAAGAAAAGAAACTGAGATTCAGATTACTCATCCAAATAATTAACGGTAAAGCTTAAATTCAAACTCAGGCTTTCACTGTATCATATGGTCTTTCATGTGAAGGAAATCTACTTTGTAGGAAGAGAGAGAAATGCTCTTTTGAGGTTCCGTTTTTCCCAAAGGCAACATCCGATATCTTCATACCCTATTGTACATAAAGCATAGTGGTAATTTAAACGAGTTACTTACCCTTAAATAAATTTCGGACATTGATATAACTAATAAGTCAGCCGAAAAAAGTATGTCATCTTGGCCTAGTTCTATCCTTATGCGACCGTATCTGATAATATACGGTAAGAATCTAACAATTGCCAATGGCCACAAAGTCTGGACCAGATTTCGCTTAAATTCCCCAAAGCTGGACCACGGGTTTTAAAACGTCACCGTTTGGGAACCACAGAAGCGCTGCCTCCTCACTTACTATCTCAAGGGTTCACATCCCTTTCTGGTGTCCTTCAGCGGGCACCGCCAGCTGTCAGGAAAGCAGAACAGGCTTACGAGGCCTTTGCCCGTAACTAACATGGCGGCGCTTAAGCTTCACGTTTTGGGCGGCAGAATGAGGATCACGTGGATAGGACTTCATCCTTTTATTGGTCGCCTCTTCGGGTTGGGCGGGATACACGAGCCCAAAGTGGGCTGGACTTAAAGGGACCGCGGCTGAAATCGTTGGCGTTCTGCCTTCTGGGTTGGGCGGGTGAGGCTCCTCTCAGGCTTTCTACCCCTCCCGCACAGAACGGGGATGGGAGTGGCCGGCGCTTGGAAGCCGCGTCTCCGGGAGCCCTGGTGACCGCCGGCTGCCGGCAGCAGAGCAGTCCAGAGTGGGTTAACCGGGAGCCGGCGGCCGCCGCGCTGAGGGGAAGAGCGCGAGCCCCGGCGACGCGCGAGCGCTGGGATGGAGGACGGCGTGGCCGGGCCCCGGCTCGGAGAGGCGGCGGAGGCGGCCGGGGCGCGGGCGCGGCCCGAGGTGACGCTGCGGCCCTTCGCGCCCTTCTCCGGGGCGAACGAGGCCGACGAGGGCGGCGGCGACTGGAGCTTCATCGACTGCGAGATGGAGGAGGTAGATCTGCAGGACCTGCCCAGCGCCACCATCGCCTGCCACTTGGACCCGCGCGTGTTCGTGGACGGCCTGTGCCGGGTGAGGGCCGGGCGGGGCGGGCCGTCGGGGCGGTGGGCGGACACTTGTTGCCGGGAGGCGGCAGCGCGGGTCCTGGCGTCTGGCCGCGGGCAAGGCGGGGCGGCGACGCCCCGGGGACACGGTCCCCTCCTTTCCAGCTGGGGCGGGTGGGGGCGACGCTCAAGGGCCCCGGCCCCCAGCACCTGCTGGACGTGCACGCAGCGGTCGCCTCTGTCCAGAGCTCCCAAATGCTTCCTACGACGTCCCTGCGCCCCGGGTGGTTGGTTATCCAGGCGGGGGATGACGAAGTGCTGGACCTTCAGGGAATGAATTAGACCTGAAGTGGTGCGGAGAGCGCCCACCGTCCTCCGGGGCTTTAGCCACAGCCCTGCATTTACTCGTTAGAGGAGGGGGTCACCTCATTCATTGGGAGGAACGAGGAAACAGACGTTGACCGGCAACGTGACTCACTGTTCGTAAATAGGACGACGTCTCTGCATTCTCAATCTGCACTATTGGAAGAGAAGCCAGTGTTTGGGTGAGGATCTGTAGTTGCTCATTGTCCTGCGGTTGCTTGGCCAGTTTTGGTCGAATGGTGTTGGAGGGAAGGGGACCGTTTTTCTAAGCCTTTAGGAGATTTAGCCAGAAATCTTATTCTCTTGAAGGGGTGACATGCCACCACCAGGTACGTGGAATACACGGGGAGTTGGTCCACCCCCTTCTAAATCCACATAATTTAGACACTTTGGAGGGTGAGGGGGCAGGGATGAGTAATCAATGATGGGAAAGGAGGAATTTATTTCAGATCTTCAATTATTGTGCAGAATAGAAATTGGACAGTGTAGGCGTTTTGAGGAGTGAAACCTGTCTTTGAGAGCTGCCCCATTAAGAGAGCAGCTGTCAAAAAAAGCAATGCGTTCAGCACTTGGCTCTGGGTCCACACGCACTGTCAATGAACTGTAGTTGGAGGCACTGCCAAGAGGAACACCACTGTGCAACAGGGAATGGTGTTTATTTATAATTTATATGCCCATTTCCTTTCAGGAAAGATTTACAATGGCCGCATAAGCTGCTGGGCATGCTTTGTAGAGCAACAATTGTCATCACCCAGGGTCTTACTCCTCTTGTGCAAAAACCTTTTCTTGTTGGTGGGCCAAGCATTTCCACTCTTTTTCTTAGGCTGTCTTTCTCTGGAGCAAGATCACATCCTGGAAGACTGTTGCACTTACTTGCTTGCAATTTATGGTTTTACATTCCTCCCCAGGTTGGGACAATTCTGAACCTACACTGTATATAAATTGATCCACTTGCTGGTTATTCATTTTAATGATTATTGAGACTACCGTGGGCCAGGCACTGTTCTAGGATCTGAGGATACAACAGGGAATAAAATAGCATTTTTATCTTCAGGGCTGACATTTTTGGTTGGGGAACTACAATAAACAAATATCAAATGTATTGGAAGATGATGGTGCTGTAGGAAAACAAGACTTGGAGGGTGGAAATCTGGGAATGGAGGGGGGTTGCTTTTTGACATCAGATAGTCAAGGAAGGTCTCACAAATAAAGCAGTTCTTTGAGTGGGGACCGTGGGCTGGCATTCATTCATGTATTCATTCTCTGCTAGCCCGTGATGCCCTGTTGCAGCAGTGTGGCTGGAACCCCACATTTGAAAGATGGAGTTGAGATGCTAGAGCCCGTGGCAGAGTACTGCAGCCTTTGATCTGCTGGCAGAAATGAGCAGGCAGCCAGAAGGCAAAGGAGCCCAAGCAATCATGTCCATAGGTATGGTCAGACTTCCAGGTCCCAGAGATGGCAGAGAGTGGCTTTGGGAACACTGTTAGTACAGGGACACATAGAGGAGTCAGTGTGGAACCTCTGTAGGTTGAGTGGCCCAGGAAAGACTGCACAGCTTGGACTAGGCTGACAGGAGGAAGCTCCTTGGAGAGATCTTGGCTTGGTTGGCATCTAGGCAGAAGGAATAGCAAGTGCTGAAGCTTAGATGCAGGGGTGAACTCGGGAGAAAGAAACCAGGGAGCCAGCATGAATTGAAAGAGAGGTGGGGTGGGTGGTAGCTGAGGTCAGGCAAGCAGCCAGGGAAGGGTCCACTAAAGGGCCTTGGGGACCACCGTACCTTTAGATGGCGTTTGAACTGCAAAGATGGGTGGAGAATGGCTTGCAGGGAAGGAAGGCAAGGGGTAGGACAGGAAGTGGAAAGATAGTGGGCTGTTGCCATTGCTGGGGAGATACAAGGCAGTTGTTCTAGGGATGGTCTAGGAGATGGAGAAAAGGGCACTTGAGCATCTTCTCCTTCCTGAAGCTCAGAACTTTGTGCATTAGCCACCTATTCATAGGGTCCTGTAGGGTCTGTAGTAAGTGAAGACCTATGGGGTCCCAGTCCCCAAAGGCAAATAGCTCTGTGCAGTAAGACAATGGAGAGCTTTAATACTGTGGGACGTCATTAGTAAGTCTTCCAGCCAGTGGAATTAGCTAACGCCATCCTTCTAAGTGGAATGATGTGACTTTTGCATCTCAACCTGACCACTTAGTATTTTAAAGGCCATTCTTCCTTTAGACTGGTGTGCCACCTTTGGGTGTTATAATGAAAATGAGAGTCTATTTTATGTTGGTAGTGCCTATCCTGGAGTAAACAGGTCATTAATTACAAGATGACGAAAGTCCCTATGGGCTAGCATCCCATCTCCTTAAGTAGTCAGTGGGAGGACTATCCTGGGGAGTGATGGCCTACAGAAAAAAGATAGTCTCCAACTCCTTTACATGTAGCTCACATGGTTAAAGGAAGAAAAGAAATTGATCTGAACGACTAGTTAATTTGAGAATTTACAACCCATACTGTTGTAACTTAACACTTTAGTCTGATATGGATCATCAGCAGTAATGTAAATAACTTTTAAAGGATATGTTAATTAAATGTTTATCTAAAAATAACAGAATCTGTATTATCATTCATTCATTTAAAATAGTATTATTAGATTCACCCCCTTTTAAATGAATGAACACTCTTATTAAAAAAAGATTATTTCCTGTTTGTACAAGTATTTGCCTGACATATTTCTTTGCACTAACTACTCTTCTTGTGAATTTTTTTCTACTTAGAAAAGCAAAGCTATACTTTGACCCAGTATTTACATGTGCTTTGAGTGCTGGCTGTGGTTAGTTGGTCCACTAGAATAAGTTTTTTTCAGACATCACCAAGCTAACAGGCATTTCAGAGTTCTCAGGTAGTCTGCTGTGAGTTCCCAAACAGCAGAGTTCCATTTAGCAGTGGAAACACATCCCCCTCCCTTTTGTTGGTTGTCTGAAGCATGAATATGTATTTGATTGGTAGAGCTTTGCCTGAGGGCTCAGTTAGAAAATCATATAAAAATTTACTCTTTTATAAGGAATAAACTCACTTTCTTCAAAAAGATCCTTTAAAGTATGAATGTGATAGTTACCTCCATGATTTTCTTTTTATAACAAAATATGCTGATCAGCAGGAAAAGATTTTAAATGAGGACCTTAAATTCTTTCCATCAGTGGAGGCCCCTGAGCAAGGTGATCTTAACTCTAACCACATAATGTTAGAATCTCAGGGAGCTTTGAGGAAATCCTATGCCCCACCTACTCCAGACCTCTCTCAGACAGGAGCTGGGAATAGCCAGGGTCATCTTCAAGTGAGTCTGTTAGTCAAGGTTGATAAGCAGTGGCCTGAGCCTGGCCATGATTGTGTCCTGAAAAAGTAACTGAATAATTAATAACTGGCTTCCACCTCTAGCCAGATAACTCAGCCTGCCTGTGCCTTAATTTCTTTGGGTCCGTAATGGGAGTTAGGCTCTGGGACTGGAGACCCCTCCTGGAGTGTTGTTTGACCTTGAAGCCTGAAAACAAGAATATTGGTGGCAGCAGGCAGGCCTAAGCCTTTGGGAAGTGGCTTGGGAGATCAGAGCCTTTTACTCTTATTCATGGGCAACTTCCTTTCTCTTTGCTTTGTACGCCAGGGCAGAGCACAGACTTGGTCTCCCTGAGCTTGTCTTTTGGTAGACAAGACATCCTTCAAAGGTAATTCAGTGGTTGATCTGAGATGATACTGCTGATGTACACAGCTTCCGCTGCTGAGGTTGTACATCCTTAGCCATGTTTCTGCCTGTTCCCATTCCAAATCAGTATGTCAAATGTGACATTCTAGCCAGAGAGTAACAGTTGGGAGATCCAGGTGGTTTTATGCCATGTCCACTTTTTATCCCAGTATGAGAGCAAAGCATGTGGTTTCTCAGACTTAAATTATGGATAAAATTTCTCCTTACATGATCTGGTCTCCAGCATGGTACAGTTCAATTAATTTGGGCATGTTCAAAATGTTGTATGCTTTTCTAATTCACATGTTACATATGTACACTGTTTGGTTGAGAAGTTACCCACTATCTTCCTAACTTTTGAATTTCTGGCTTTTAAATAAGGTACTTTTAACATCCACAGATTTTTAAATCCCTCCTTACCCTCCACTCTTTAGCAAGTGTCTAATTCCTTTTCAGTCCAGTCTGCTTCTCTGTACATTGCTCAAAGCATTTTTCTTCAGTAGCAGTAATTATAAATGCTACTGTGCCTGCAACTATAGACTTCAAATCACAGGACAATCACAATAAGGGAACAGAAAAATAGGCTTTGTGATAGAGCAGGATAGCAAAAGTATAGGCTGTTGATTCCTGTGTTTATATTTCAACCTGTATTCTTTGTTTCTTTGTTTCTTTCCTTTTAAAAACCATAATCAGACCACATAATCCTCTCTTTTTGGTATGTATCAGTGAGAAACTGGTTTGCACAGTTCTGTGAATGCATTGCTCCTATAATAGCCATGGTGATTGTGTACACACCTGTATGTATATGGTGACTAGCCTCCCCCACAATGCTGTGTACAGTCATTAGGACTCATTTTCAGGGCTGTGGGGGAGTGCCAGTCCTTTGGAAGACAATTCAGTTGTAAGGGAGAATTTTTCCCTATGTCAATACTAATCAGCTTGTGAGCCTGAGGGTGCTGACAGATGAGGAGTCAGTGAAGTACGTTGCTGTTTATTCTGAGCATTAACCTGCTGTACTTTGGCCACAAATGGCAAAAATGCCTCACCTGTCCTTCCTGGGAAAAGCAAAAACATTTTCAAAATGTAACATCAGGAGAATATGATTTGCCTTGACTTAAACATTGATGTTAGAAAAGGGTTGGCTTTGTGTTACCTGAGCTTCAGTCATCATAGAAAGCCTGAAGTGAAGTCTGCCCACAGGGAGGCAGTGCAGCACAGTGGTTAAGAGCATGGGTCTTAAGCAGACCCTTGCCACATATGTAGAGTGACCCTGGGATGTATTTACCCTATCTGTTCCTTAGTTTCTCTGCCTGTGAAATGGGGCTGCCAAGAGTTCTTACATAAATAAAATACTTGTCACTGCAATTGGGACATCATACTAAATGTACAGTATAGGTTAGTATATTCATTACCTACTGGAGTGTAACAAACTGACCCCATGCTTAGTGGCTATTTGTTAT